GTGAATATAGCAGTTTAACATGGTCCACGCTATCATAGGCTTTTGTGATATCTAACGTTATCAAAGCAGAGTATTGTTTCTGATATCTAGCAAGTTGAATTCTGCTTTTGAGATCCACGTGCGCACTCCAAATGGAGCAACCACGCCTGAATCCAATCTGACATGGACTCAGTGCCAGTTTTTCTGACATCCATCGATCTATACGTCTATATAAAATTCTTTCCACGAGTTTTACAAGGTTCGATGTAAATGAAATGGGCCTGATATTATCTAAGGTAAACCCGGCGCTTTGCTTTTTTAATACTGGAATTACTTTTGTCATTCTCAAATCAGGTGGCATCCAAGAGCTTCTAAGTGAGTGATTAATAATTTCGAGTAGGCCAAGTGGGTATATTTTATGTACTGATTATCACCAACGTCGTCTTGCCATCAGGACCAGGAGCCGAATGGGGTAGTGTTCTGACTACGTTTGCTAATTCTGCAGGCGTAACCTCTTCAAAATACTCAGCCCTTTGGGGGGACTGGGCTTGGTATGAGAGAAGTGTCGTAAAACGACTTTTAGGCCCTGAGCTATATATACTAGAAGGGCCTTCAGTTCAACTGGGGATGATACTACAGATTCTATATTTCTTTGTACCGGAAGAACTTTCTTAGTTCTCAAAAAGCGAAAAAGTGCTTTTCTATTGACCGGCTTTGACAGGAACTCACATCGGTCGTTGTTAAATTTGTCCTTCGCATTAGCGATGGTTCTCTTAAAAATAGCGGCCGCATACTTATAATCACTCCAGTTCCTGGGACACTGGTTGAAGATTAATTTTTTTCCATGCAGCCTTTCTTAGGCCGCGTTCACACTGAGCATTCCGGCCGGCGAAAGTGCTCCGAATCCGGTTCGGCGGTGGCGAGATTCGCCGAAAGGGCCCTCTACGCGCCGATTGCTCTCGGACCGATTTTTGCAGCGTCTGCCGCCGAATCGGTCACCGGGGACCAATAGGAGCGCTATTCAAGGAATTTTGAAAAATGGCGGCCAAGCTCTACTCACTTGTTATGCCGCAGTGCACGTAACTGAATGTTGAAACCAACGGTAGTTAAACCTACTCTGTGCCTACTTCGCGTCCGTATTTCGTGGAAGAGGTGACCGAGCTTGCTTTTGGCGTGACCGAGCTTGTTGCGGTGTTGTCAGAGCAAAATGAACCCACCAACGCCGCTGGCGTCGGTGGTTTTTTCTGCTCTTCGTGCATTACAAGATAGCCACTTGCCAGCAAAGTAAGCAGTACTGTCTTTTCTTGCTTCCTGCGTACGAGAATCATCGAAGTATACACCACCGGATATCGTAGTGAAGTTGGCGAGCCGTGACAACAACCGGGTGACAGCGCATCCATGCCGCGTTTGCCCGGTGGTAGATGGCATATTCGGCGGCTCGGGGCGCGTCCAGTGCGAACGACGCTGCATTTCGGCGGCAGGGGAATTTCGCTCGCTGTAGAAAGCGGATGTTTGAGTGTGAACTAGGCTTTAGTCTATAAGCCTGCGAACAGTCCGCATTCTACCAAGGGTTGGTTGACGGTTTAGAGTTTTCAATCGTGAATTTTGATTTATTGAACGACTTTTTTAAAATGTCGCTAATTCTGATGGCGTCTAGTTCTGCATCATTCGTTTGGTTAGATAAAGCGCCTGGTAACGATGTCTCAAAAGTATTAAAGTTTACGTGTGTTACAGAAGATCTATTCTTAAAGGTTATTGGACATAACACCTCGAATAATATTGGCATATGGTAACTACTTGTTCCCGAGTTAATCGCAGACCATGATAAGATGGAGAGTTTATCGTTAGAAAAAGTTAGATGGAGTACCGAGAAGGACTGATTACACATAAAAGTAGGAGTTTTTGTGTTTATGAACATAAAGTTAATATTGTTTATCGAATTCCATAAACGTTTGTCATTCAGATCAGTTTTAAAACCCCAAGAAATATGATGAGAATTGAAGTCACCTACTAATACAATATCTTTTTGCAATAGTGAACTGCAGTATCTAGGACGGAAGAATTTAGAACACCCGCAGGAAAATAAGCAATAATAAATGAGAATGGGAGGGACCCAGGAATAGTAATGCTTAATGCTAAAATCTCGCTTTCTGAAGCCATTGACTGATAAATAATTTTAGCTCTATGGGCAATTTTAGATGAGATGAATATTGCCAAACGTCCACCCCGAGTTGGGCGGTCTAGACGAAATGTGCGGTAATTTTTAATCCTAAAATATTTATTTTCTGCAAGCCAAGTTTCTTGTAAAGCAACAATATCAGGGGAATAATTATCGCAAAGTTGAAGTAAGCCTGTAGCTGCTGAAAAAATAGAGCATCAATTCTACTGTAGTACTTTTAAATTCCCTATTTTGAAGAGATACCAGCAGCACTCACTGCTTTCTCTAAGATGCTATCCTTCAAAAAATCCTTTTTTGATGGGTTTTCCTTCTGATATCTCTTATTTCTTGATTTAGGACTAATTGAGGACCGTTGTGCCTCGGGAGAAGCACGTCGTTTCATATTTCTCGAGTCAGAGTCCATTTGTTCTGGTTGTGAGACAGAGTCCGAGCTCCAATCTAGGTCCTGTACAAGAGGCAGAATTATTCTATGGCCAGGGTTCGGCGTGGCTGGCTTTGACTTCGAAGGGCGTGGTTCCGATGGAATATCAGTAACCTTAATTGGTGAAGGTAGAGAAGGGGGCACGGTAGGTTGGTTACCTCCCTGCAATATTTGAGTCAACTGAGTGCTCACTATCTGTGCCAATGACTCCGTTAGGCTCACGAGTAGAGATTCCATAAGTTTCGTCATGGCCTTTTTCCACCGTTGATGTTATTAAATCAGGCAACGACGACTCAAGCATCTGGTTTGCCCGGTTGGCAACGGAGGCATAGCCACGTGAGCGCTCAAAAAGAATAGATCGGGCCTCACGCCGGGAGCATCGTTGTTGTTCGATGATCTCTAGAAGTTGCAACTCACATGTCCTCATGGGGCAACTTTCATCGTCAGCCGCGTGATTTCCTCTGCATAGACAGCATCTCACCTCTTGGGTTGAACATTTGTCGGGTTTATGTTGGTCAGTACATGTGCGACACCTCACATCCGATCTACATCCCTTGATGGTATGCCCATACCTCCAGCATTTTTTGCACTGCAGCCGACGAGGGGATAGTGCATCTACACAATAAATTAGTGGCCATGCCTTAATTTCGGTCGGTCGAGCCGTGCCGGTAAAAGTCAAAATCACTGATTCTGTGGGGACCTTTTTGTTCTCAACGTTTCGCGAGCATCGAAATACAGAAACTGCTTCTGCGGCCGCAAACATTTCAAGTATTTCGGGAGGTGTAAGGCTCAAGTCCACTCCTGGAACCAGTCCCTTCACACAGGGCAAATGAACAGGCTCACCGGATTTGAGGCAAACGTTGTGCATTTGAGAAGATCTGTGATGCAGGCCTGGTCCGGCGAGCAGCACAGGATGCCTCCACGCCCAAATTGACGCACCTCAGTAATCATTTGGTAATAATCGGAAATCTTCCGGAGTTCTTCCTGAATTAGTTTCGGATTTTTCCTGCGAATATACTCGCCGTTGGTTGGAACCAGGGCCACAGGAACGCTCTTCAGACCACTGCGCAAAAATAGATCGATTGGCAAATCACTATTAGGAAGGGAAGCCGACCAGGCAGAATATGCCTGGCCGGGAGAGGAAAGAGACATCAGGTTAATAGGCTTAACAGCACCGCCCGATCCGGCCGCTCCCCCTCAGGAGGAAGCATGAAGGTGCCCTTGAAGTAGCAGCGGGGGTAGATCCCGAATTGAAACCGGTCGCTCAGGTCTCAGGAAGCACCGGAGGAAGCACCGTTCGAGCGAAGAAGGGGCCTTAGGGCAGGCGAGTGCAGGGATCGACCAAGAAAGTCCTTTTATTTCGACAACTCGTGCGTAACTTCTTCTTTCTTCCGTTCTCCTGCTCTTTGTCGCGCGGATGCAATCATCCGCAACACCGGGTGACATCAATGCCTTTCGGGCTTGCACAGAACTCCTCACCGCAGGCCACGCGAAACATCTCAACCTCGGCCAATTTAGCTTAGTCAACAATTCGTCCACAGAACCATGCCGTTGCTTGAAACGTCCTTGCAATGGTACGCTACACAGGCTTCATTTCGGAAAATATTTATGCCAACATGTGTATCATGGAGGGGTAGAAGAGCAAAAATAACAACCACGCATCACACCATGCGAATTACGTAACAAGTTGGCGATTCAATGCTTCCAACCCATTGCAAAACATCCAGCCATATTTCTTCCTCATCATCAGCCACAGCATCCACACAGTGCTCATGAAGCCTTACGAGTCTGCCACAGGTACCACACTTGTTCGTGGAATGATGGACATTGGTATAATGAGTGCTTCCCAAGAAGACAAAAATTATGACACGCTCTAGCGGGATCTTGCAAGTGTACTAGTAATAGTTGGCGCAAGGGAGTGTACAACGAGCTCCAGGAAAACCCCACTTCCAACTTTCGCTGTGATCGTGCTGCGATTTCGGCGCAGACCTGGGGTTTTTTCTTGCATCTGTTTACACAATGTTTTTTTTCTGTAACAGCTGTTTGAAGCTGTAGAGTAGTGAGAAAATAGTAATATTGTGTTCTATAGGAACGTTATATCGAAAGATATGCGCATGGCGATTCCTGCACAAGTGTAACAATTGAACATACCGAGTAGTCGTTGTCGTATGTTGTTCCTTTCTTCCATGGTGCGAGTTTATTTTTCATGCATGCTGAGTTGCGGCCGGCCGCAAAAAATTCGCGTGTGCTTTTTGTACTTTGTTGAACACCCTGGCTATTGTCCGCATATACAATAGCGCTTCATTGAAATCGTCGCTTTGTTTTCGAATGAAACGATGAGTGGGTGCTGAAAACAATCGACAATAAGGTGACGCGAAAAAATAATAAGACGACAATTCCAGCCTTCAAATTTCACTCAAAGACAAATGTAGTACCTGGCCTTTGAATTCCACTTTCTTTAAAACCCACCACGTTAGCTCGACAACACAACGCCGGACGCAGTGGCACGATCTTCCTTCTGTTGCAGGTGAGACGTGTTGTACATACAGGTAAAAACACAAGAAAACAAAAACAGACCTGCTGACCATATCTACAAGTGTTCGTGTTGTTAGCTTCAGTTAATTTTGTGCGATATCTGCATGGCAATGTTCGCCATGCCTTTCTGTTTTTCTGTCTTGTATGAATACTGTACTGAGCCCGCGTATGCGTAGTATAATGACATCGACAAAGTCGATAAAAGCGCTCGTGCTCGCCCTTGCATAAATATTAGTACAGTTATACATGGGGGTATAAAGACCAATTGGACGTTTTTGTAATAGTTTATAAATTCGTATGTGGTCGTATATGACTTTTTGCGTACCCTTATTAGACCATATATGGATTACAAAGAAACCCCATATATGTGCCGTATATTACATATCTGTTAGGATGGCTGCTGCATGTACAGGGTCAACCAAGTCTGAAAGTGTCGGAAGAGTTAAAAAAGTGAAAATAGACAACCATAGGTTAGTAGCATAAGCCACGAGGGAATTCGTGTGGATTTTTCAGAAAGAAAGCTTCTTAGTTGCCGATTCATTGGTCCTGGTATGAATCAAATTTGTTGCTCACCCTCTTTGCACTGCGTAACACTCATATAGCCTATTTTCCCAAATGTTTTTGGAAAGTAAGAAGCTTTCTAGGAAATCCGTACGGATGTCCTCGCGGCATCGTGCTACTAACGATTGGTTATTTCCACCGTACGGGGTTCACCTAACTTGCATTACTTGTGTATATGTGCTTCGAGTTGTCGATGAATTTGCCCTCGTGCTGCCAATCGCTAGATGCCTGGTCAAGTCAATTGGTAGCGCGACCTCCCCGGAAAGGCGTTAACCCCATTAGCCTTTAAGTCTTTAATTCTGAAACGGGAAATTAAATATTGAGCAATATGTCCATTACATGATATCTAATCATGGTGACCACAAGCGCAAGAATAAACTTACGAATTTCATGTTAAATATTAGTTTCTAAAATTTCTTAAATACAAATGAGTTGTCGACATTAGATATGGATTACCCTGTACTTGAAACATAATTGGCGATAAGCTGGTAAAGAAGGAAGCAGCCGTATTGTGCTGCCAGCAATAGAAAGCGCATCTCGTGTAATAATAGCTGATACCTTTTACCGGCAAATATCATCTGCTGAGTACACCATTCAGGTGGCCTATTTTTATGAGTGCTCGTTATTTTAGGAAAATATCCCATTCCCCAGTATTCATTCAGTGTACGTATACTTGGGGTCGTCGCCTTGCCGCCGTCACTTCGTACTGATTCGTCGTGCTAACTGTCGCGTTTTTTCGTAAAATTTTGTGAAATATATATACAATCGGAGCACATGCGATATATGTAGGGCCAAATTAATGGGAAAATATTGTAGGCTAATGTGGGGCGTAGAGTTCACTTGCTTGTCCCACTGCGGTGGTTTAGTGTGTGGCCTCCTCTAGTGGTGATGACGCTCGACTGCTAAACCTAAGGTCATGGGATTGAATCCCAGATGCGGTGGCGGCACTTTCAATGGAGGCAAAAATGTTTCATCTCCGTGTACTTTGACTTACGCACACCCGCAGTTGGTCGAAGTTTCCGGAGCCCTCCTCTACGGCGTCTCTCATAATCATATCGTGGATTTGAGACGTCGAACCCCAGATTATTATTATTATTATTATTATTATTATTATTATTATTATTATTATTATTATTATTATTATTATTATTATTATTATTATTATTATTATTATTATTATTATTATTATTATTATTATTATTATATCATTATTATTATTAGTATAAGTATTATTATTATATTATTATTATAAAGCAAGGATGGTTAGCCATGCTTTATATTCATGAGTCTCTATTTTCGTTCCAGGTCAGGGGACATACATAGAACCAAAGAAGGGAAAATATGATCTGCGAGTTCTTTGCGTTGACTTTTCTGTTTAATGTCTTTTGCCCATGTAAGACGGCGGTAACAACGATTACTTTTTTTGTATTTTAAACGAGCAGTCTGTTTATATCACTATTTTCCTCGCTTCCCACCCGCTACCCAACATGCGGCTGTAATAGTGAAATGTCTATGAACACTGTTCGTGACTTTTCGTGGGAATGAGTTCCAAATGGGTATATCATAGCAAAAAGAACCTTGAGGTGAGCAGTAAGACCTTTAAAACACCATTTTCACGCACATATTCTGATGTAAAAGTAAGTATACAGCTGGCCGAGGCGTTGCTGAGCTCTAACGAATCAGTAATAGCTTGTCTGTAGCGTTTTTGCAAATGTACATAGCTGTGTCGTGCTATCAGGCAGAATCAGCCATCAATACTCTCACTACTGTCTCGTGAAATTTAAGTAATCTTTTGTTCACGGCACCGGAAAAAGTCACATAGTAAATAATTCTTCCATGTCACGAGTTTACCTACGATATTTTCCTCTAATCCAATTTTTGTTTTCTGTGAGAGAAGAGAGGCACGTATACATTTTACTTGAGACATGATTAGCTACCTAGAAAAAAGAAAGAGAGCCGGTTGCAGTTTACCAATAGCACAAAATAGTTTTATACTTAACCAAAGCAAGCCATGGTAACTGGCCGTACAATATTTCTCAAAGTTAGTAATTATGTTACATTAAATGAAACGTCTTGACAGTCAGTGACACAGCAGTGGTTTCCCGCTAACACTATACAGCATGGTATCGCGGCGAACTTTCCGACTACTTCTGCTAATGACCGACTGCATGACCGCACAAAAACTACGGGTGTGCTTAAGAGGCTGTTAGTATGTTTAAAAGGGGTAGCAATAATTGGGGTTGGGTGTGATCTGGTGTGTCTTACAGCACCCCTTCAGGTGTCCGATGTTTAACTCTTCTCAAACGATCCATTCTGTAACGCTTCATGTCCGTCCAGTCTTACCATGGCGGGTGCTTTTTAGGTGTATTCTTATCGGCAACTGGTAGACATAAGCTGCTTTGTTTTCGATCTCACTCTTACAAACTTCCGTTTTAGAATTTTGAATAATTCCACTGATCTTTCTTTTCCCAATGCGTGCAGACCATTGTAGGTTACCGAATAGCACCACTGTTCTCTACAATGGAGAGACAATGAATTCGTCGCATCCTTGTGTGCGTTACACTTGCGACAAGGGAAGCCTAACGATAAAGGAGTAAGTACAGTTTAGTGTCAACAATTCATGCGTTTGTGATGATCGCCTTTTATAGAAATGTTGAGCCTCACATTACCTGTGTCAAGTGGCCACGGTTCTCAGCTGCGGGATCTCAGCCACGATGCATCCCGTTTCAACGGAAGTGAAATGCTAGAGGCCTGAGTACTCTAATCTAAGTGAACTGAAGTAACTTAGAGTTGATTTGGCATAGATTCATGTCGAAGCATAGCGCTCGTGCTTGACTCATGTCGAGCACGAGCGAGAGCCACGAGCGCTGGCTCGCTCAGTTGCTCCACTACCTTTGGCGTAACCAGACGTATACCGGTTCGGGTCTCTTTGTTTTCTACACTTCTTTCTGGTGCAAAAACCCGGGACGAGGGTTCACGTGCTCGGTTCGTTCCCGGGTTTCGGCACCAGAATGAAGTGTACGAAACGAACATCGGGCTATATACGTCGAAGGTATTGAAACAACTGAGCGAGCCAGCGCCCGTGTGTGTCGATCATGCCCGCACCTCTTCCTCCTTCTATTTGTTACAGTGGTCTCAGCACTCAGAGAACCGGATATGATTATTGTGTACGTGTACAGCAGGGGTCGGCAAACATGTGGCCCACGAGTCAGTATAATGCGGCCGACGACACGACGTCAGAATCTCCGTCCCGTTGTCATTTTCTATCTGAAAGCCGGCATTGAAGTATTGAGTGAAAACGGGATTTAATGGGATCAAAGAAAGACGATACAAGCGTTCTCGTTTATCTGATGAACAACTCAAGATGGTGGTGGAGAAAACTGTATATGCTATTCAGGGGAACTGGTAGAAGAGGAAATAACGAGTGGGAGAGTGTCTGGAGGTGAACAACCTTGACGTAGACATTGGCGAGTTGTTCAGCACCAATAGACTCTATAAACTAGTTTTTTTGAAGTTTGTAATCGTAACCTACGTTTGTAAATTTTAAACTTCTAAACTGCGTGCTGAAAATAAATATTTTATTGTAGTATTCTACAATGTTGTCTTTTCGCTGAATTACTCCACGCCCCTTACGATTTGCCATGTGGCCACCGCTGTGTCGGGCTTCGTGCAACTTGGCTCTCCTCCGGAAAAGTCTTCCGACTCCTGATTCATAGTAATACAGTGGTTAACCGGTAGTTGATCAATTGGAACTAGAAAGATACGGTTTGTCACCCTGTGGCATTCCTCTAGTTGTTCTTTTACTACGATTATTCTGAGTTCGTAACTTGAGCTCTTTCATGCCAAATACTCATTATCAAACTCAGGGCCAAGTGCGCTTCATGACTTCATCAAGCGCGATCAGGATGCGGTCGATACACTTTGTTGCGGGAAAGTACATGCTGCGTGGCGTGCGAAGCACCTGAGGGCGCTGCAGGCTGTCGTGTGCGGCCGGCCGGGTTGTAAAGCAGGCAGCCCCACATATACAGCATAGACAGGTATATCACATCGGGCGCGTTGATGTAGATGTAGATCCTAAACTTGTGGGGGATCGGCCAAGAATCGAGTAGCTTATATATATATATATATATATATATATATATATATATATATATATATATATATAATATATATATATATATATATATATATATATATATATATATATATATAGATTTTTCGTTCATTTTCTTGTGGATGAATTAGTTCCTACTGAAGGAGCAATAAATGAGTTATATCAAATAAACTTTTTCAGTAGCATACATTGATTAACTGAGAATCTTTTGGAACTGAGGTTATTGAGTAAATCTCTTCGACTGTTCAATGAAATCTTGAACGGCCTCGCACATTTTCCTGTTGTCGTGCCCTAGGTTATGTGCACCAGGGTATAGTAAATTTGATGTTGTAAAAGCCAATCCAAGTATTCGTAACGGAATTTCTAGTGATGCTTTTCTTAATGATGAAAACTTTCTACAAGACATCAAAAAGAGTTTCAGAGTGTTTGAATCATAAAGGAGCCTTCTTCCTCTAGCTCTTCGGCCAACTTCATGATGATATTAGGTGTGGACATTAGTACTGTGGCTTGGGAAGCACGCCATCACAAACCACACATGAAAATTGAAAGAGGAAAGAAGCGAGAAACAAAAACAGAGTAAATAGAAGGTAAAATATTAGAAAAAGTAGAAATAAATAGTAATGAAGATATATCACCGAAACAAAAAAGGAAGATGCACACCCCTAGGTATATCGGGATTGAATTCCGGCTGCGGCGGCTGCATTTTCGATGGAGGCGGAAATGCTGTAGGCCCGTGTGCTCAGATTTGGGTGCACATTAAAGAACCCCAGGTGGTCAAAATTTCAGGAGCCCTCCACTCCGGTATCTCTCATATTCATATGATGGTTTTGCGACGTTAAACCCCACATATCAATCAGCCACTCAAGAGTGCTTCGGGCGAAACCTTGTATACACTGAATTCGTTTATCGCAACAATTAGCCTTTCCACGTGTCGCCGTGCTTAACGTTGACGTACTGTGATGCAGATGACAAGAGTTCTAAATTTGCCTCTCCCGTTTTACAAGGGTGTAACACCTGCCGAATCCTCCGCCAACGTTCGTAAGCTATAGTTATTGTGCTTTACTACTGACCGGAAGGTCGCGGGATCGAATGCCGGCCACGGCCGGTCGCATTTCATTCGAGGCGAGCTGCTGAATGCTCGTGCGATTTAGGTGCGTGATTCAAAACACGAAGTTGGCAAAATTTTCAGAGCTGTCCGCTGTGGCGCCTCCTATATGCATGCCATGGTTTTGAGACGTGAAGCAGTGATTACTAATATGTTGGCTGGAAAATTCTTTAGTGAAATTGACAGAATGGCATTTTGTGTAAGTTTGCCTCAAACGTACCTTAATTTTCATCTTCTTCATGACAGATGCTGGAAGAAAGGTTACCCAGAATGCCTGACAGCCGAAGCAGCAAAGAGCACATTTCCTGTCTGTTGTGCTCTCCCGGTATGTTCGTGACAAAACATGTGAAAGACAGACCAGAACTTCCAATTTCTGAATTTTTTTTTCTGTAGCGCCACTCATTTGTGACAATGCTTCCGTCACTAGTTGAAAATAACCAAAAGAAGATGGCATGACGTTCCTTTTTTTTTCACTTTTCTTATCACTACTGCACCATTTTCGAGAGGAATTGCATGTATTCAATAAATCTAAGTACAAGTTCAACGCCTCCACTGAATTATTTGTGTTTGGTGGGAATGAAACGGCGACAATGATCCAAGGCACACATATCCCTAAGCGAATGAGTGTGATGTGAGGTTAACGCCTAAGACGAGAGTTGGTTCGTGAACGATGAACTTGAATGAGCGAAAGAAGATACTTCAAGTATCCGTTTTTAGTATTCTACGAAGGTTGGAAATTCGGTCCCTAAAGCAAGCGTTTTTGTCAAATTTGATTTCTCCACATTCACATAATCACTGCAATACAGTTGAAATGCTACAAATAACGCCAGGTACATATCCTTGGCTTCAGCTTTCTGTCGGTTTTTAACTAAAGTTGCCTGAAATGAACTTCCAGGTAATTTCATTTTTGTTTTCAAATGTCGTAGCAATGTCCTGGTACTACTTTCAGCTAGGTGTGACTAGTATGAAATGTGATTACCTTGTAGAAGTAGAGCTGATATCTGTGCTAATATGCTCATAGCTAAATGCTTCACTTTCCGAGGTTCTTGTATCTCGACTCCCTCGGAGGAGTCAAGTACTATGCCGCGGCAGTAATTACAAAAGCCCACGGCTACATGCGCCGCAGTTCTCAGTTAACGCGTCTTTCGAGGACGTCCCGCTGTTTGACGTCAGCTGCGAGGATTGTTTCGGTGCTGATATATGCTATCTCCGACCTAAAATACGAACTTCTATGTCGTCGGGGAAAAAAAAAACGGTTCACTTGCATTTGTTTGATGCTTGACAGCTTTGCTGCGTCACAAAGTTGTGAGTACGTACTTTTGCTGCGTGGCGCTGCGAAAATCTGGAAACAGTATTTTCACGCCCATCTTTCATTCCCGAAACTGTGGTCTTGTATTTACTGCGCTTTGCTGGGAGCCTCATGTTCTTGTGTGTTGGCTGTTTCACAGGTGTCAGACACAACGGTGTTCATAGGCACGCTCACCAAGGGGGCTGACGGCCCCTCCCTTTTAGTTGCCTATAGACGAGGAAGGGGGGATCTGCTTAGTACATTGACTAGGGGGGGGGGACCTCTAGTCACACAAGAAGTGGAGAAAGATTTCTCCCATTCATTCACAGTAGGGAGGGGAAGGGCGCCGTGACAAGTCTTTGCCCCCCCCCCTCCCCGACAAGCACAAGCAATGCTGCGCCCGACTATGACCAAAGTATCTAGTAACGTTGCCTATGATGGTGTTTGTGTACCCGCTACGTGTTTCTATAAAAAACATGTGATTTGAGTATACTTAATTTACGATACTTTTGTTTGAAAGTCATTCTGAAGGATGGGCTGCTTAGGCTGCCATTCAACGTTGCCTGCAAAACAATGTGCAGATGGCCATGTATACATATGCCTCCATGACTCAGTGTTCCTGCGATGCTATTCAATTCACGCGCCTTTTGTTGAACAAAATGGTTTAGGAAGTGCTGCCACTTTGCGAGAGAAGCAAGGATCCTTAAGATGCTCATATTGGGGTTCTCTGAAAAGGTGTTGCCACGGTGCTTTTCGCTGTAAAACCCACCTTGCCAGAACTGGCTGCTCGCTTCGACTTGCGTGATGTTTCACAGTTCGACTTGGTGACAAGGGTGTGATTATGTCGTTCTGGTTGATACAGGATGCTCCATATGCTTGATAATACCGTTTTTAACGCTTTCGCAACGCATTAGAATCCTGCAACGTACGTTTGAAACAGTAATCTTAGAGCTTTATTTTGGGATTCATGTGGTCAGGTTTGCTGCATATTTCACCGTTATGCTGCAGAAGGGTATTGGCATAGTTGCATTGGGGTTGTGCGTATGGTGCATTTCAAAACCGAATCGAATACAAATGAAGCAATGATGATACCGGAACGAATGCAATTAGGAATCGGGATAATATTCGAACTGTTTTGGAGTAGTAAGACGACCTGCTGTATTGGGAGTCATTTTCTAAACAACCCGAAAAGCCCCGCGACATTCACTTCAACAAATATTCACAATGTTTATCGCTGAAGCATCACGATTGCTTTTAACGCACAAGAAATATTATTAAATAACCTCACGTAAGCTTGTGTGCAGAAGCAGCAGTAGCCTACTAGTTCAAATGCAAAAATGAAAATGTGGCACTTGACATCAGATTTTAACTAAAGCTAATATATAAATGTTAAATAACATTCATCAGTAAACATCATTATGAATGAGATGAGACGACTGTACTGCTTACTCAGTCACTTAGTAGACAGCGAAGTTTTTAAACGAAATGTCTCCATCCCGTGATCAGTCAAGTGTCGTTGATGGCGTAAAACCTTGGGGAGCATGCATCTTGATAATTCTGAAATAAAACAGGAAACTTTCCGCCTCTCTGTTTGAACGTCTTCATTCTTTTGAGGTTTTATGGGTGAAGCTTCTTAGGGCGTGGGTCGTGCGTCTCCTGTATGTAGTAGCCACCTTTAGTTCTGGGCGAAGCTCCCTATTTCGTGTCTCGTGCGCAATGCATGTAGTAGTACTGCGTCGTAGTAGTAGGTTGCCATCTCCACGGGCGGACAAGAGGAGCGGCGCGCGCGCACCCTTTTCAATTGGAGGAAACCTACGCACGTTAATCACAAATAATATGATAGCTGTTTGCCTTACTCTCCAATAAAATTTGCCTTGAATTTGATGCTTAAAAAAACTAGTATCTGAAGGACGCACTTTGAGCAAAGTCTGACCAGAAAGGGTTGCCACGTTAAACTCGCTGGGCGTAACCTCCTTGGTTTTAGCAAGCTTTAGCAGGGGTTGGGTCACGGTGCCATGAATATAGTGAACAAGTATATAGCCACGAACTAGAGGTGGTGAAAGGTGGGAAGTAGACACGAAGCGCAGGCCGTAAGAAAGTGCGCGAGTGCCACCTCTCGTTTAGTCCTTGGAATGTCCGTTGGATGGCGGTACTTCTATGTGCTGAATGTATGATGAAAAGATGCCAGATGGCGGTACTTGTTAACTAGATTGATGGGTGGATGGACGTATGGACGCATGGAAAGACGGACGCACGGATGGACGCAGAGACGGACGGTTGGACGAACGCAGGTGCGGATGCACAGATGGACGCACAGACAAACGAACACACGGACGGATGCACGCGGAGACGGAATGATGGACACACAAACGGACGGATGGATGGACGCACGGACGGTCTTACAGACGGACGCACGAACGGACGGAAGCAAGAACGAACGGACGGACGGACGCTTCGCCCCTCTCATCATCATGCACTCCGTGGATATGCTGTGATTTTTTTTGTACTTGGAATGTCGGCCGGATGGCGGTACTTGAATATGATGAACCTATAAATTGTCGTTTTTGAAATTTTCAGTCCTATTATATATTTTAGCTAAAAAGTACATGCTATACCCGAAACAATATTGGTCTTGATGTGTTTTTTTGCAGTAATTTTGTATTAATAAATGAGTATCACTAATCGAGTTTCGTTTTCGCTAGAGCAACTACAAGGGCTTTGCGCCAAGACATTTGTAGAACTGCTCCAATGAAATCGTTGAGGTGGTTATCGTTAGAGTAAGCCTTGCTTATGGCGTAATTTTAGTCGAAATGGCCTCGTGAAATGTGAGGCCCCTCGGGACGGCTTTCGCTCTCCCAGAGTAGAGTACCAAGTACTCTAAAGCGTTCACTTTAGAATGCGAAGTATTACTTAGCGAAGTTTGGCGACTTTATCTATCTATCTATCTATCTATCTATCTATCTATCTATCTATCTATCTATCTATCTATCTATCTATCTATCTATCTATCTATCTATCTATCTATCTATCTATCTATCTATCTATCTATCTATCTATCTATCTATCTATCTATCTATCTATCTATCTATCTATCTATCCGCCCACGAATTTTAGCTCTCCTGGCCGTTTTGATAATAATATTCATACCAAACTTGGTATGGCATAACATGACTGTATGACGAGCATATTTGGCTAGTCATAACATGAAAATCATTACATGTATGTCATGAATGTTATGATTTCTTACTGCTCATGCGGTGGTCTCGTTCACATGACATGTTGCAAAACTGGTATGGTATGACATGATTACATGGCAAACACAAGCAACTGACCCTAACGTGGAAATCATGACATGCATGTCATGTAAGCTATGAGTCATGACTAAACGTCACGCTCATAGTACGCTCGCAGTCGTTTGGCTGACTTCACATATACCGAATTTGGTGTTACGTGACGTGAACGCATAGTGAAGGTATATGACTGGTACAAAAATGATAGTCATGAGATCCGTGTCATGTTAGAGCATGACCTAATGCCACGCTCATGATGCGCTCCCAGCCGTTGTTCTAGCTTCGTACACACCAAATTTCGTATTACAAGACGTGAATGGACGACAAAACGATGTGACTAGTGCATGCATGATAATCATGGAATGCGTGTCATGTAACAACATGACTACATGCTACGCTGATGATGCGCTGTCGGCCGTCTCGTTAGCTTCACATGTACCAAATTCAGTATAACGTGACGCGAACGAACGACATATGCAAATGAAATGTCCAAACATGATAATCATGACACGCGTGTCATGAAGCAACATAACTACATGCCGCCCTCATGATGCGCTCGAGCCGTTGCGCTAGATTCATATATACCAAATTTGTTATTACGTCACGTGAATGAATGACGAAGGTATGTGACTGGTGCAAACATAAATATGAGATGCGTGTCATGTAAGAGCATGACTACATGCCACGCTCATGATGGGCTTGCGGTCGTTTCTCTAGCTACAAATATACCAAATTGGTATTGCATGACGTCCATGAATAGCGAAGTTAAATGACACGTCGGAACATGATAGTTATGATATGCGTGTAATGTAAAACATGACTGTATACATGCTACGCTCATAGCACGCTTGCGGCCGTTTCGATAGCTCCATATATACCAAATTTGGTATCAGG